GGGTAAAATGGGACCCTATTACTAAGACTCCGCTGTCTGTTTGTCCCTCTGTCAACAGGCTGTATCTCATGAACCGTGATAGTTACACAGTTGAAATTTGATCTGGGTGTTTGTTTCCCAAGGAGGTTTAACGTCAGGCAGGCGGCTGGTTGTAAAAATATTGCCAAAACCACGTACAACATGATTCATGTTGTTCCGACCCTACCTAGGTGGGATAGGGGCAGGAAGATGATGATGACTTGTATACTTGTCCCTCTATTTTAAAAGTTCGCGTCAAACAAAGTCATTTGAAGGAGGCTATTGTACTTTCAGATGTTGGTTAAAAATGTTCAGATGGTGAATGATTTATTAAAAGATTTTTTATTGGCTGTAGCGGTCCTCAATATTGGGGAGACTAACTTTTCCAGAAGCACAGCCCATACCATTTGGTTCATCGACCCATTTTTAGGCAGAACAATGAGCAGATCTTATTCATGGCTTCGAGTTGGACAGAAGACTGTTGAGCACAATAAAAAAACCTGATCTGTTACTGTGAGCTAAAACTCGATTACGAACTCTAGTCGTTGACATTTGTTGTCTTTCTCTCTAATCTCGTCAGCGTTGGAAACGCTCAGAGCTCGATTCCCTAGTGTGAATTTATATATTTATATTATTTTGCCCTTCAAGCTACTGCAAACACTCTACTTGACTCTCTCCGTCTTGTAAGACGATTTTCAGTTTCCGGTAAAGATTCTTCATTACGACGTATTTTTGATGCCCTCGCTTGGGAACTTTTTCTAAAAAGATGAGATCTTGATCTTTGGGCATTTTAAAATGATGTTGAACAGGAATTACCACTAAAAATGTGATTGAAGAATTATAAGAAGTACTAAGTCAGTCACTAAGCTGTTTGGATAGTTAAATAATTTTAACAATTAACAATATACTAACATTTTTAAACTTGTGATATCTTTCGAATGGAAGGTCCGAATTTGATAATTCAAAAAGTTATATAAAGATATTGAAACAGTCTTAAATAAGAAGTAATTTATTTTTATAAGGATTAATACCAAGATACAAATAAAGAGCCTTTTCTAGCGGCGGCATTTCAATCAAAATTTTAAAATAAAAGAACACTTATTTTGGCACAACTATAATAGACCTATGCTGTCGCGACACTTTTTGTAAATAATAATGTAATGTACAAAGTCGTAGTACATAATTTTACTCTATCATCAATAGTTTTCGATGTTATTTCATACGCGATGTGAGGAATATTCTAGGTAATTTTTATACACCTTGAGTAACGTTATTGGAGTTTTAGTAAGGATCCCTAATTTTTTTGAAAATATAATATAGCCTATATCAAGCAGGGATAATGTAGCTTCTCAACAGTGAAAGAATTTTTCAAATCGGTTCAGTAGTTTCAGAGCCTATTCAATACATACAAACAATCAAATCTTTCCTCTTTATATAATAGATTAAAATTTATGGAATAAACTGAAATATGCTAAGATAAACCAAAGACTTTACTTAAGTTTTGCTTTACAAACTTACGAAATTAAATTGAGATACAATTATGTATGCCGTATATACAATTTAAAGTTTAGAACAAAAACCACAGGATTTTTGCGATATAACTCTTATACATTTCATACACATCGAAGCAAATTTGAAACAAATATGTTCCTCTGAATTAAATAAAACTTCTTTAAATGTATCGAGCATATTCTGCTGATGACTTTTTTGTACTAGAACGACTGTTTTATTTCATTCGGCTGAGATTACTGTCGTGGTGCAGGGAGCTTCAATATTTGATTGATCGAGCGTACACAATAACATCTGGATTATTTAAAACGAATGGTATTGAATGAATGAACGATTTCAAAAAGAAAAATGAGAACCGCGCGAATATGTTTATTTTTATTTGGCTAAATGGGAACATAAATGATTGAAAACGATTTACAGTTATCAAATTTATTGTCAATCATTTTATTTACAATAAATAAACATAAGATATATAGATATTTCCCACCACGCAGTAATATATTTAAGGACCCGTATGAAATGCTATGATGAGGGCGAATACTACATTATGGTCTCAATAAAACTTTAGATTAATTCTGTTCACAAGTATCACTGACCTTTTTTCTAATAAATATAATGTGATCACCCTCATATATTTTCATATGTAAAGCCCTGTTTGACAGGTTTGTGGTAGGATGTGCTGTTCTCATCATTCCACAAAACTGCAGGTCGTATAAGGTATATCCTAGATGAACCCGTGATTGTTTGTATCACCGGAGTATTGCGCATTCAACTAGTTGATTTACTTAGGCACAGCTAAGCGGGTACGCGATGAAATACGCGCAGTGACAGTTACAGTAATGGTTCTTTATTTTCGGCATTGTATAATGCCTTGTATCACACGATAGTAAACAGATCCGTCTGGAAGATACCTCTTACGATTCCAAGCTCTTTTTCTTATTTATCTAATAGCTATGTTACACAAATACATTTAACTTACAACTACGTAGAATAGTTATATGACAATAATTATAAATACGCAAATTCGATACTACATAAAATACGATATGACTTAGTATTTTTAAAATATTTTAATTACACTGCACTTTAATTTATTATAACATCAAATATTCAAGACTCATAATACTGTCAGCTTATGTGTACGTATGAAAGTTAATGTTTTTATTAAGAGTAATAAGAAGTTTAAAGTAGAATTAACTACTACAATCAACCTGTCTATTTTTACTGATTAGTTTTATTTTAAAAATCTTTTTAGTAAGGTGACGTACTCACCGACACTCAGTACTCAGAAAGAAAAACTTCAATAGATCATAGGTTAACCGTATAGCGTAGCTAAATCACTAAACTAATAAATAATATAAGGAATAACTAATAATGAAACCTGTAGATATGATACAAACTCCTGTAACAATTAAAAGGCACTGCGTCGAGTAATCATACTAAAAAGTATCGACAGTATATTGAAATTTGTGATACATGTGTTTTCTTACAATATTTAAATAAGCATACGTGTATAGAATTGTGGACTTTTAAAATTTAAATGACTTTTAAAATGTTATTATTTAACTTTTGTTGCATTGTAAACTGCCTGATTTATACATTTCTGTCTACCAGGCTTGAACTATCAGTTTGAGCTGTCTCAATCAATCACTTTAGAGATTAGCAGCTCTCCACTGTCATTATAAAGTTTCTGGAAGGTTCCAACAGAGGTGTAGAAATTGTGGCATTTTTATAGAAATGGCATATTTATGATGCGCATGGATTTAATTTATTTAATTAAAAAGATAAGGGACGTTATATAAACTTAAAGATCCCTATATTTTTCTTTGAGAAATCTGAACACTAATATCACGCAACTACATATTTTTTTAAATACACGTCTACTCAATCAAATCCTTAGGTGCAATCGCATTTTTTTATTTACATACATACTTATTTATATTTTCAAGGAATTGGGCCTATTTCATGCTGTATAAATGTATTTATAAAATATATACAAATACAAAATTATACCTAAGCGACAGGTTTTTGATAAATTTTCTCGATATGATGTAATGCAATTACCAATAAATTATTACTGGAGAATAAAATACTTAATGAAGACTGACGAAGAAGAGTGACTTAATGAAGTCATATAATAACCTAACTGATGTATTTCTAAAAGCAACCTAGTTGTGATTGGTTCTTATAATTTTTGTTTTACATTTAAATGGAAGGATTACTGTGGACCCTGGTGTGTATTTTCCAATTAGTATGAAAAAAAAAAACATTATATTTTTACATTTATACGATAACCTTTCGATTATCGTTTACGATACGAGTGAAAAAAAATCGTTTTTATTAAAAGGGCACAGTGTATAATAATATCAAAGTGACGCTCAGGGCAAGTCAAGGACGAGAAGATATTTCTAAAGGTTTAATATTCGCACAGTTAATTAAATTTATATTTTAATTTTATATGGTCCAGTAAATATTATTATCGTCCATCAATTATATGTTAGCTTACACTTCTTAGGTAAAAATCGATTTACATACACTATATAGCTGATATCGTATGATATTATTGAAATACATGATAAATTATGCTTATCGTTAAATCTAAGAGTATATTATAAGTAAAGAGTAGTACTTAAATTCTTTCAATACTTGGCACATTTACCTAGTTTACAAAGTTAGATACAAAGATTATATCTTTGGCATTTAATATTTATGAAAGAGCGCCTCAATTGCGGTACATATAGGGTGTAACTTAATTTAAAAAATTAATACTTGTTCGTTTGTTTCATGAAATTAGGACATTCCAAAAGGACCTTCATGTCCAAAAAAGAATACTGTTACTGGGATACGTTGCAAATTATTTCGATCCATTTTGATTATTGTAATAAAATTTGCCCATAAATATTTAACCCGCTCACAAATACGGAAGTATTCGCTATGAGAATATCAAAGATATATTCAAAAATTTCAATCCAGAACACTAGATAATGTTGTTGTTGTTAATTTTACTTCTCATTTCTCTTGCCTAATTGCTAACGATACAGCCTTGTATCATTAGCTATGTTTCAAACTAAGGCGCTTATCTAATTCTCTTAATCTAACATTTTTCAATTGGTCACATTGAAATTATAAAGTAATGGACGCTCTAACAAGCAACCCCAAATTGGTGATAAACACTTTACAACAGCTTCATCGGGTCTGTTTTCCAGTCTCCCGATCAAGCCGATACTGCTCGGAAAATTCGAATTTTCGTCTAGGATCCAACTCCGACTTCTATTGAGGATATATTCCAGTGAGCCAAAACCCCACATCTGTTTGGTATTGTGGCTTTTAGAATAGAACTTCACAACTTCATCAATGTGGAGTATAGTGGCTAGTACTATGAAAACTTATCTCTAATACGGCCACGTCCGTTACGTCACGATATTGTTCGCAAATCGCACTCAAACGAACACAGGGCCATCACTCTCCACTCACAGGACGTGCAAGTTCTCGCAGTTCTTGAACTTGGAGTCCTCCTTACCGAAGATCCAGGTAAGCATCTGCCTCGCCTTCATGCTTGCTCTGACCACTCCCCTAGATTTGTACCAGTGCGCCGGCGACGATTCCCTGCCGCCCTCCGCCGAGTACTGCTGCTTCTTCAGACGTATCTGGTTGAGTATACCCACCAGGAGCTCGTCCACGTTGTGATTTATCCCCACCGAGACCTCTATGAACTTCGCTTTGTATGTGCACGCGAGACATTTGCCGTCTGGAAAGAGATTAAAGGTTAGTTGTTCATGTCATAAAAGGCTGTTCAATTGTTCTGCTTGAAATGTTGGCATCGCAACTGATTGCTGTTGCACGAATGGACAGGCCCGTCCGGGTGAGTACCACGAAGAAGTCGCTGTGAAGTGGAAGTGTTACATTTTAGCGTTTCGTCTGGTGAGTGAGGTGGCTGGTACATTTTATTCAAAAGTGGCAACGCATCTGCAACCCAACGAGTGTCGCAAATGTCTACCAATAAATGGCTAACCAAATTATGGCTAATCACCTTCTCAATAAAAAAAACCTAGTTTTAAATGTTAAAGTGGGAATCACAAAGCTCAATAAAATTTAACAATCTCATTTGCCTTGAAGACAACTACATTATGATCATATGGAAATAAAAATATGAGCTAATTGCTAAACTAAAATACAAGATAGTAACATTTAGATAAATTTCTTGTTGGACATTTCTGATATTACGTTTTCATCGGCTAAACTCCCGTAAATGAAGAAGCTGAGAAGTTTCTCCAATTAGTTGCTTCGTTAAGAAATATTCGCTATGAGTTATTCCTGTTAAAGCCACTGACAGGCCCGCTTGGGAAATCAATTTGCTGGCTTAATGGAAGGAAAATGAGTGGAATAATTCTTGCCCACAAACTTTTTTCAACGCAAATCACTAGCGTAAATCACTTTTTAAACCTATCTAATAGCATAGGTTTTTAGAAAATCGTTACATTATGTTAATATTTATTTTAAATTACATTAGCAGTCAAAGTTAAGTGTATATAGCTATAGAGTTAAAAACTAACTGTCAATATCACCATATCTTTTAGAAATCAATAGAGTAGTTGCAGCAGCTGTATAAATTTTAATACATAACGACGTCCATAAACGCCATAGCTCAGTATGTAGTACTTACCCTGCGTCGACACTGCTCTACTCCTCGCCAAATCGATCTTGTTTGCTACCAACAAAGCAGGCCTGGACCTTAGCATGTCGCAGTCTATCAACCGAGCCAGTTCCTGTTCAGCTTTCTGAAAGGAGGCCTTATCCACCACAGAGTAAATCACGACAAAGGCGTCCGGTGGCTCGAAGCGATCAATTTCCTCCTGCGAAAGCAAACCGACATGAGGAAGTGACTAACATTTCTATTTTAAATTACGTAAGTGTTAATGACTCCGTGGCGTAGTTGCCAAGGTATTGGCTTCGGCGTCGGGGGTCGTGGGTTCGGTCCCCACACGGGACAACTATTTGTGTGACCCACAGATAGTTGTTTCATATCTGGGTGTTTGTGTTTGAGTGCGTGAAATTTATGTTTGTAAAACGTCCTTACAACACAGGATAATGTTATCCTAAAGTGAGGGCAATGTTTTTTTTTAAAAAAAATTGTCTGAAGGCAAATAAAGTGATATAATAGACATTAATATTAACGTCAGCAACGCTAATTAATTAGCAACAGTGCCAACCGAGTTATTAAGCTCATGTGCTGATGAAAATGATGAGGGAAACTTTGATGATGATGGTGATTGGTGTAGTGAAGTTTGAAATAAAAACGTAACAAAAGAACCCCTTTACCTTCGTGCTGGTGCAATTAACGAAGTACAGTTCTGACTCTTCACCGTTCAGAAGAATAGAAACCTTCTGTTCCGAGCTGTCGACGTCTGAAAAGAAATATGAAGTATTCATTATTGCTGTAACAAGCTATTTAAATTCGAATGCTATTGTAGCATTCGAATCACAAGTCTCGTAATTTGGCGCTCACCCACAGAATTAGGTTAACCGTGGGTCGATACGTAAAGGTATCTGTTGTTGCATAAAATAGCCGGCTGAACTAGAAAAATGTTGCAAATACGTGGATATGCGAAAGTAATACTTACTTCTGCTATAACTGACTGGTAATTAGCACTATTTACTAATCTGTAAAATAATTTCTAAATAATAATAATAATGTATAAATTTTTTATAGTGCTAATCCCTGCACTTAAGATTAAACATTAAAATTTTGCAGAATAGTACCAAAAGATTGTCGCCGATGGGAATCGAACCCACGGCATTCGCGGCCTGACACTTTAGCCCCTAAGCTAAACGGCTGATTGCTACACCGACGAAAATCTTAACGTGTTTTATCTACATTGTTTTTTAGAATTTGAAGCAATGTTTTTTAATTTGGTAAGTTACCTAAACTCCATAGACTCCCTTGACGCGTCTGATTTGTGTACAGGCTCTTTCTTTAGGCGATTATCGATTACCATCAGGCGATTCGCTTGTTTGTTTGCTATTAGTCTAAGACAGTAAGTAACATGTGTTTTTACAAAAAAAAAAACAAAAACTGGTATCTTCGGAATCCAAGGTCCAATATCAATGAAATTAATATGAAACCAAATGGGAGTTAAAGCAAACCCAATCCGAATATAATTTTAAACATCGGTTTATAAATAGCGGTATTCTGGAGTAACCAAATTAAAAAAAAAAACAAACCAGATCAGGACCTCGTCCCTTTAAGTCGGTGGAAATATGGCTCTGCTTCATTTATTCCTATAATTTTCACTAGTCCATAAGCTCGACTCATTCCTGAATGTCCTGCGTTTTGTCATAACCTAGCGACAAAGGCTTGAAACAAGCTATCGATTGAAAGCGAAGTAGTTTGATCTGATAGGTTGATCTTGAGCCTTCAGCTTTAAAAAAAAAATTATATATGAACATAACAAACACTTATCATGTTTTAATATTTTATCATACTCTTGAAATTATAGAGCAACGCAATATTCATTATGAATTCGAATTTGAGATAGTTTGTGATATGTTTTATTTTTTGTTGGTGGGGAGAAAGCTAATGTATTTATTTTGTTGAACACCCTCTTATGGCGTCAAGAGCAGAAATTTTTATGAAACCGTTTAAGTTTCTACTCATATTCCGACGCAAACAAGGACGTCTTATTTCAGGAAGAAAATAAATGAAGCGAAGAGTTTCCGTGTGCTGTCTTGAACAACAAGGGCTTTGATAAAAGCTTCTTAGAACAAAGGAGAGCAGAAAGAAAATAGACGATTGCGTCCACTTACATAAATTGTATATGCTATTTGATGCAATACTTAGTCTGGTATAATATTGTTATCATTTCTTATTATTATTATAGTTATCTTTAATTATTATTATCTTTGCACCGCTACTTGCTCTTATAAAGTTGCTACTATGATATTACGTACAACTCTATAGACAGCAATCTTTTTCCGTATCATACGTTCTATATCAACTGTCACATTTAAGTTATATAATTATGTCATTTAATGTAAAGCGGAACAAATTTTAAACGCGGCGCTGTATGGAGATGCGTCAGCTATATTATTAAAACATTATTTAAGTTGCTATACGTCAGGCCGCGAATGCCGAAGACGTGGGTTCGATTCCCACAGCGGCGACAATCTTATCGCACTTTTTCTACATATTTTAATGCTATACGTATTTTTAACGTATATATATATATATATATATATATATATTTTGGCTGCTTCACAAATATTCATAACAGGCTTTTGAATTTGAAACGATCAGTGGCTGATTTGTAGTATTAGCCGCCCTAGAGAGGGCCTATTGGCCCCAGCCCATGTAGTAAGTTCTAGCCGCCCCTTACTCAGAGCCCACAATATATTTTGTTATCATCAGTGAATTTTTTGTCACGATTGGCCGTCCCTAATATGTGGCCGCCCTAGGCCCGGGCCTATTGGGCCTCAGGTCAAATCGGCCACCGAAAATACTGCAAACATGTCATTACCTCCTAATTTAGGTAACAGTCTCAGGTTGACGTGAGGAAAATTTACGGTAGCTAAAACCGATTTTATAAATTTAATTAAACTTCATTGAAGAATCCATATTTGAAATTTAAAACAACGTCCTATAACGCGATAACATTAATAGGTATGCTAAACTTGTCCATATTTTTTTTAATTGTAACAGTAACATCGATCGTTTGTTGATATTTAATACATTTTTTGTTGAAAAATGTGTTAAACTAACCTGAGAAATAAACAAATTTTCAAAGAGCATCCCCATTATCCACGCGCCTGATATTAAATTTCGTCTGTACGTTGCTCTAACATAATTAAGTAAATTTTAATTATATTCTGAAAACGTACGTAAAACGAACACATACGAAAATAGGACATAAAAACAAAGAGAAAGAGAAATTAAACATTCTTTTTATAAATATTTCACTTTTTCAATAATGTCAATTGATGTTATTTTAAGTCACAACGAATCACAATAGTACCAACTTAATTGACATCGAATGCTACGTGAAATATAACACACGAAATGATATCAAAGATCTAATCATAAAACCGGTGTTTAAATAACACTAGTTACGACAAAAAGGGGGAGTAAGTATCGTACTCCATAATTGAAATGCATTCGTTAACGCTGACAATGGACAGCTGCAACATATGTTGGGTTGCAAATAGCTTGCCTCCTCTTAATAAAGTGGGACCCGGCTACCTCACTCGCCGACGAAACGCAGAAGTATTACTTCACGGCCGTCTAATATGCGGACTTGGCACACCCCGCTGGCGCCTGCCCTAAATTAGTGTAACAGACAAAAAACATTAGTGTAACTGTGGTAGGGCCACGCAACAGTTTTCACAGTTACACGAATGGGCAGATCCGTCCGGGTAAGTACCACGACCTCGCAGAAGACCGGCGTAAAGTAGAAGTGTTACACTTCTGCGTTTCGTCTGGTGAGTGAGGTAGCCGGGGCCCAATTTATTTAAAGATGGCAACGCATTTGCAGCCCTACGGGTGTTGCAAATGTCCACGGGCGGCGGTTATTACTTAACATCAGATCAACCGAAAGCTCGTTCGCCACTTTTTCGCATAAAAACAAGATTTTGGTAGGACCACACAGAGGTTCGCTGTGGCCCTACCAAAATTGAGAAGTTGAAAAAATTGAGAAGTTTCGTTAACCTCGCTGTCTGTCGTACGCGTTAATGCACTCGCTGGTCTGGAACTGGCTGATGAGGGCGGTCTTCCCTACTCCAGGAGCGCCCACCATCGCCACCCGATGGCATGCCACCGGCCTGCGCTCCTGCGGCTCCGGGGTGGCCTGGGCAGGGGAGGATGGCGCCAAGCTGCCAGAACGCGAGCGACGGCGGCGGAAGGAGTCCCCCCTGTTGACTATACCTGTGGACAACAGATTCCCGTTAAAAAGTATTTTTTTAAACGGTTCACCTGATGTTAAGTTATAACCGCCTGCCCATGGAGATTTGCAACACCCGTAGGGTTGCGGATACGTTGCCTCCTCCTAATAATGTGGGCCCCGGCTCACCAGACGAAACGCAGAAGTGCAACACTTCTTCTTTACGCCAGTCTTCTGTGAGGTCGTGGTACTAATCCGGACAGACCTGCCCATTCGTGCAACAGCGAACACTGTTGCGTGGCCCTACCACTGCAGAAGTTGTAAGAAACTCCGCTTCCATACTAGCTGATAGGCGTTAAATGCGATTTCACCCGCGAGTAATGTTTCTGCCTCGCCCTTGTGCCGTATGTTAAATACTATATAATCTATATAACCCTATGACCTTCCTCAAGAATTGGGATATCAAATGCAAAAAGATATTTCCAAATTCGACAAGTAATTCCAGAGATTGACGCGTTCAAACAAACAACAATATAAGTACAGACAAGCAGGAACTTGAACGATTTTCAAATTTGTTTCATACGAACTTTATACTTTAAAATTGATATTGATAAAATTGATTTAAAATTGATAATCAAATAGAATTTGTAGTGAATTTAAAACAACTAAGAAACTTCATATTTTTTTGCGAACATCATTTTAAGTTCTTTTAGCATATATTCAAATGGAACGAATTTAAGCAAACATCAAAATTTAGATACAAAATAGTGTAATTTCTTTGTAAACATGAGATTACTAATCAAAATGATATTCAGATACTTATGATATTAAAAGCTTTTGAATACGAGAGAAGCTTTATATAAAACACTCTGAATTTAATTTTAAAAGTAATTTTTCATTGAACGTTTAGTATTTTTTCTTTAAAATATTATATTACTTTCTTAAAACTTTTACCGAGTCCCAGGTGACACCAGATAATGTATCCAAATTAAGAATGTTTCAGTTCATAGCTGAGTGTATTGAAACTAATAAGACACTTAATAGGAGGTTCTCTTTATAGGTAAAAGTACACGTAAGGTTTTAATCTTATTTTTGTTTTGATTTCATTTTATTGCCTAAAATTAACAGATGTACGCTGTGAATAGTGTGTTCGCCTTATTGACTTCGTATTTTTTTTTATGTGAGAAGGTGGGAAGCGATCTGACAGTTCACCTGATAACCGCCGAACATGGACATTTGTCACACTCATTGGTTTGCAAATGCGTTGCCACCTTTAAATAAAGTAGGCCCCTGCTACCTCACTCACCAGACGAAACGCAAAAGTATGACACTTCCACTGCACGCCGGTATTCTGTGAGGTCGTGATACTTACTCGAACGGTCACCTGCCCATTCGTGCAACAGCCAAAACTGTTGCGCGAATGGGCAGGTCTAAAGAATAAACTAAGTCTAAGGAATGAACAATAAATAAAGAAATATCATTTCAGAACAGCTTCGTAGCGGGATACAAAGAGGGCGAAATTCACCAGATATCCTCAGAGCAACGTCATTTACTTTATAACAAAATTAACTGCTTTCCACCGACCGGCTGGTTGCAGCTTTCGGAGTTGACGATGGATCGTGTGATGTCAGCTTTATTATTGCCGGCACCATTCCTTGTTATGACGTCATTGCGTCGTAAACCGATAGCTGTACCGGCTCGGAAGCATGAAGATTTTTTCTATCTCACATGTAATTAGATAATTATAAGAACCTAGCGCGTGTGCCGGTACAAGTTTTTTTTTATGTGAGAAAGTGGCAAACGAGCTGGCGGTTTACCTGGTGTTAAGTGGTGACCGCCGCCCATGGAAATTTGCAACACCCGTAGTGTTGCGAATGCGTTGCCACCTTTTAGTAAAGTGGGCCCCGGCCACCTCACTCACCAGAAGAAACGCAAAAGTGTAACACTTCCACATCACGCCGGTCTTTTGCGAGGTCGTGGACCCGGACGGACCTGCCCATTCGTGCAATAGTCACCACTGTTGCATAGTCCTACCACAGTTAGGTGGATATACATACTAAATTTACTATATTCAAACGTGAACTAACAAACAAAGTTTGTGTTAAGGCAACAGTGAACACGCTGTCCAAATTTCAAGTTCGCGCACAAGCCCTGTTCTTCGAGGCAAGAGCGGCAAGGCAAAACCTGTTTGGCTTCCAAATTTGAAAGCGAACTTCGGAGCCGAGGTGTTTGTTTTCAAAACAATAGCGGATAGGCTTACTTAATTTGAATTTAACAATGTTACGACCTGATAGGTTTGATAGTGAATTTCAAATTAATTATGACTGTCACTTGCCAACTGTTTTGGCATAGTTATTTTTCACAATTGTACGGCGATATTTAACAGTTTGTCATATTTAAGACTTAAAAAAGCCTTGAAAAGTATAAAATTCTAGTTATATCGATCATCCCAGGCAGATTGTAAAACATTTTTAACATCCGTTTCATATGTGGCATTAAAAAAATTCAGTTTACTAAAGTTTTGATTAATATCACGCTTTACACCTTTACTGCTTTAACTTATATGCCATTAATATTTATATATGTCATTAATATAATGACAATGTCAAATTAAAAGTATGTAAGCGAATTTGTCAAAATATACGGAGGAGTTTCTTTTTTTTTTAGCTTATGAAGAATTAATTTTTCAGATTATGAATGTAATATCACGCAATCGTAACTAACAAAAAAATATAATTGAGAACTGCTTTTCACGAGCTAATGTTATGTATAATTCATAAGTAATTATCATTTCAATAAGTAACAATTCGATGTATAGATGGGAGTTAAAAACATAATAATACTAATAAAAAAATAGGACCCAACCAGACGGATGGGTAAAAAAATGTACATCAAACCCAACCCTGTATACTTATATTATATAAGTATACAGGGTTGGGCAGGTATTATATTATATATTTTATTGCATATATTAAATAAATATTATAAATAAAAGTATACAGGGTTGGGTTTGATGTACATTTTTTTACCCATCCGTCTGGTTGGGTCCTATTTTTTTATTAGTATTATTATGTTTTTAACTCCCATCTATATAATTGAAATAAAGATAAGCCTAAGCGGGTAAAGGATAAGAAATAATACACACGGTTACAATAACAAGTACATCACTGAAATCTCCGTTTAAACGTAAGTCAAATACAAGCCAGCTCGTGATGGAAATCGAAACTTTATATAAAACTTCTTTGGCATTGTTGGCATGTTACGTGTTATATTTTCTAGAAGTACAAGAACTTGTCGTCGCGATTTAAAAATAGAAAAACTAAAAATTATACAAAGCGATTTAACACTTCTTAATAAAATAAATGTGTTTAAATGTGAAAACTAAACATGACCAGACCAAAGAATAAAAGAAAACAAAATTACACCATAAATTGTTAGTATGAAATGACAATGCGAAAAAAAATACTAGTTCCAGTAAGTAACTGTTCATCTATTAAATACATCAGCATTTTCTATCAGGGACGGTGGTCAGAACTTAATAAAAATGCAGCCAGCCTAGGAAGTCGCTAGACTACATATAATTTGACTACTACCTCTCCATTTTAACCGACTTCAAAAAAGAAGGAGGTTTCTCAATTCGACCGTATATATTTTTATTTTTATTTATGTGTATTCGCGGATAACTTCGTCGTTTATGAACCGATTTTGATGTTTATTTTTTTGTTGGAAAAGAGATATCCCAACGGTGGTACCATGATAAGGAAACCCGGATCTGATGACGGCATAGAGAAATCAAGGGCAATCCTCAAATGTTATAGTTATCAACAATGTTTTTTAGTTTCCGGTTTGAAGTCGTTTTTTTGTTGAAAATTATACTTGTTGTAGCTGCGAGTCGTCAGTCGAACTAGCCATTTGGATACTACACAGTGTTGTTTACAATGTTTGCCAGCTAACCGGCCGCTGGTTACGGATTTAGACTGTGGTAACGCACGCCGAAGGGCCCGGCTATAACAAGACGAAGTTGGGCAGCGGGCAAACATCCGATTGACGTCATCAGAGTGCCGTCAAGTGCATAATGGAATAATAAACGAAAGCGTACGGTGATTCACGCAGAACGGCGCTCAAAGGGACCAGCTCTCCGAGGGGATTGTAGCAATGAAGCTAAGAGATGCTTCGCAATCTGGATGATAGGCCGTTTTCTATTTATAAAAAGCCACGCTATAATAGTGTACACGCATCTTGTAAAGGAACACTCCCTTCTAAAGATAAGTGGGTACACGGCTGGACCGATTTCAATGAAATTTTTTGTCTGTCTTCAGGTGGATTCGAGAATGGTTTAGATTGACAAATTATTCAAAAACTTTGAAATTTTCGGATTTAGGACGTGTGGTACATACATGACAACGCCTATCAGGTCCGCTAGTATATTTATAAGAGCCTTTTCGACGGTTTAAAAAGTGTGTGAGAAACGAGTGACTGAGATCTGAAACCAAAATCTCCATCTATTGAAACTTCCAAATAAATATAATAATACTGAACAAAAACGAAGAGAATAACAGAAACACTAACTTATCAATTTTTCGATAGGATAATGCACCGTAGCTCTGCAAATACGCACGTTTGTTTGCCGCTAACTTCTCACTTGGCCCAAAAACTGTCTAGTGTTTGATTATATCTCACTTGACGGTAAGTTAGATTTAATCTTAAATGGTGAATGCACAAAAAGTTTTAATAAATATAAAAACAGTTGATGATAGACAAAGCTTTATTATTTCTTTTATTTCTAAAACACGGTGGTGGTTTATCGATGGTAGAGCCACGCAGCAGCCTCGGCTGTTGCACGAATGGGCAGGCTCGTCCGGGTAAGTACAATGACCTCACAGAAGACCGGCGTAAAGGCGTCTGGTGAGTGAGGTAGCCGGAGCCGGCTGTCCATGGGCAGCGGTATTCACTTAACATCAGGTGAACCATCTGCTCGTTTGGCAACTTTTCACATAAAAAAACACTATGGTATTATATACGCAACTCGGCATTTTAAAAAAAAGTTGTATAATAATTAAACTCTAATTATGACACAGTTTTTGTTGCATAAATAAAAGTTTTGTTTGAAAATAGAACGCAGTACTAACCGACGAACACGCAATGTTTACAGCTGGTCCTATTCCCAAGCGTTTCGTTAATCAATGGGTACGAGAATTTTTATAAAGTGAAGGCCAATAACTTTGCTTTACATATACTGTATGCTTATTCAAGAAGGCTTTACCCGCGGCTCCACTTGCGTGGATTTATACCAACCAAAGGCCTATAAATTCTTGGCATTAATGTATATCCGTAATTAAAAAGAATCCCCTAGATCGGTTAATTGTTAACAAGTTACAAGCAGATACAATAAGACCCCGTGTTATACCTGTTTTGTAATCAAATCAAATCATTTAATCACTGAAATAACCAACATGCATTTCATCTATCGATATTCATATTTTTAATCTATAACAGTTTCGTAAAGAGTTTCCTCTTACAGAGAAGAAACAGGCGAAAGAAACTCCCATCCTATATTCATCTATATGTATCCTCTTTTTGTAATTTTTTATGTTTTTCTAAAAACATAAACATTACATTAAAATATTAAACATATTTTTTTCTTTTTTTAGAAATAAATAGCTTCGGGGGATCAACTCATTCCCAGGGGTCTTATCATTAATGTATTCATATATATTACATTAAACCTTTTATAAAGTTTTCTTTAATAAATTTCTCAAACCTATTAATATAAACGTGGTGGTAGTTTCGTAACGTAACTAAACAGTACGTATATTAAACCAAGCTCCTTTGGTGTGGAAATGATGGACAAACTTTGAACACACGTGACTGAATATTCGAAAAGGTGACGTAACACTTAAGTAACGAGCCAAACATTATAACGATACTGTAAACGTGCTTACACCAACGACGGGAAATGTTTATGACAACAAATTCGGGCACGTGTACAACATTTTTTGTGGCAAAATTTTGCAGAAGGGGGCCGTTGGATTTGTGATTACGCCACGTCATCTGCGTCGTTCGCATTTTTTGCAAATAGAACGAATAGATACAAATTGCGAAGATGAATAATTTTGTTTGCTGTAAAAAATGTTATAAAACATTTTTTACTGTTTGAGTTTCTATGACAGAAAGCTTTTAGAATGCTAAATACAAGGGACAGCGCGGCGGGCTAGTAATTATTCGACTGTTTGTTCAACTGGTGACTAAGCCGTAGATATCATTAGGATTGAAGCAATTTTGCAACAGTGATGTCTTGTGCAAATGATCTTTTGAAGTGTACCTGAGTAACAACTCCATGACAATATAAAGGAAGAAAATTGACAAAGCATCATCATATATATCTCCCATCCTCGCCCACCTGGCATGCATACACTTGTCGTGAGTGCGGTCGGGGGATACTCTCTCGCATAGGCCTGTATAGCCACGAACGCAGGTGTCGTCACCGTGATGTTGCTTAAAACATCTGACACGGATGAAAAGGCGTATAAATATATATGGTCACGTAAAACGTCGTGAAATTAAAACATGATGGAAATGACCAAAAAACTGTTTTGGGCCATTTGAAGTCGTAAAACGTAATGAAATAAATTGCATAACAAACTTTTAGATC